ATTTTAACAAAATAGCATTACTTCAAATAGAAATTTAAGCGCAAATTTCTTTATCATACTACTACACACACACATACTTGTTAAGAGTTGAATTGAAAATAGGCAAATATAATAAAAAAAAAAATATTTAATATAAAACTAAGTTAATGTAAGAAATAGGTGATAGCAAAGCAGCCATTTGGCGGACTGGTTCCTTACCTTTTATCTATGCTGGCTGTAGTTACATATGTATGTTTTAGTATTATTGCCTGACAAAGGAAATCTAAATAATTACAAGCGTAATGAGTTGAGTGAAAATGTTGTTCTGTGATTCTTAGGCTAGTAGTTTACGAGATAAGCTGCTTTTGGCTAAGCTTGAAGAATTCAGTTGACAGTTTCAAAATAGTTCAATAAAAAATATTTCCTTGTAGCTACATATTTGTGTGAAATTGAAATTAAAAAAAAAAAAAAACAAATTATAATAAGAAAAATATAATAAAAAGCTTCTGTGGCCACTATATAAATAAGCTTAGCAAAATCAATTTGTAGCAGCAGCACCTTCTTCTTCACAGATCTTTCAACAAAACGTATTTCGTAGACTGCTTTCCGTTTTTCAATTCATTTTAAATTTAAATTTAAGTTTTCACTACACTGTAGCTTTCATCACGTTGTAATTACCGAGCACTGTCCTTATTCTGTTTTATATTTATTACAATTAAGTAGATTGTTTATACTCCTCCGCACTCCTCCTTTGACTGCATCAGCTTGCACTGTGTTTGATTGCTGTTTAATTGCGCTTTTTGTTACATTAAATATCTATGGAAAAACAATGAATTCGTTGAAATATTGACAAGTTATAAGAACATTTTGTTGGTAGTCAATCATACCTATGTACTACTTACGGACTTTTCTACTAATGAATAATCTACTTACATAAGTATGTACATGTCGCAATGGCTTGTGGGTGTAGGTTGTATGTACATATAATGCCAGTTAAACTATGTGTTTGAAATAATGAAAGAATATTCGCAAGTAATCGCCGAACTGCGTTTTAGTTAATCACCTGAAATTGGCCTTAACTTTAAACTTTATTTACCTTTCATAGGCAAACAAATACTTCTCGAAATGCAACCCTGGCGGAAATCAAACTCAAATACAAACTTGTAGTACACACATTTGCATGTGCGTTTATACATCGAATGTAGCGAAAACG